ATTTGATAACTCCCAACAACTGATTTCTATTCTCAATGGAGTCTTTAGGGCTATATAGAATCTCATATTTTGTATCCTTTTGAACCAAAGATCATACAAGTAATTCCAACAAAGAAAGAACACTTGTGGCATCAAAGAAGTGGCAATATAGTTTTGCAGAGGTATTGGACATCACCAACAACTTTGAAATTGTCATTGGGAAGGGGGGATTTGGGACTGTGTACCGGGGTCAGATGAAAGATGGGAACCAAGTGGCAGTAAAAAAGCTTTCTCCATTATCATCTCAAGGGCCAAGGGAATTTCAGACTGAGGTAACCGGTAATTTATTGTGTCACTGGTTCGGACTTAAATGGGGGTGCTTTTTAACATTAGACAGAACCATCAACAGAAAAGCATCCTGGCTTGCAGGCTGAGCTCTTGATGACAGTCCATCACAAAAATTTGGTAGCCTTCATTGGTTATTGCGATGATGGAAACAAAATGGCACTCATATATGAGTACATGGGAAATGGAAACCTCAAAAACTACCTTTCAGGTACACTCATTACCTTCCGTTTTTGCTTCTAAATTTATGGCACTAAATACTGAAGAGGCCATACTTTGGTTACCCTTGCAGCAAGAAATTCACGTTGCTTGACTTGGGGAAGGAGACTTCAGATAGCAATTGACGCTGCACAGGGTCTCTGTGTGTGTGTGTGTGTGTGTGTGATCTTCACTCTAGAGGAAGCCAGCAGTTCCCTTGTTGTGCATTCATTCAATGACAATGATGTGTTTTGACTTGTAGGATTGGAGTATTTACACCATGGATGCAAGCCACCTATAATACACAGAGATGTGAAGACGGCCAATATTCTTCTAAGTGAGAAGTTGGAAGCTAAGATAGCAGATTTTGGCCTCTCCCACGTGTTTAAGAATGACACTAGAGATGTAGGATCCTCAGTGAATACAAACGATCAAGGAAATGCAGAACCTGCTGTTATGGGTACCAAAGGGTACCTTGACCCAGAGTAAGGCTACAATCTTCGTCATTTGGGCTCATTTTCATTCTCTGATGGATATACTAACTGCCACCAACAATTTTGTTGTTGTTTATTTGCTCAGATACTACAAATCAAGGAAGTTGAATGAGAAAAGTGATGTCTATAGCTTTGGAATTGTTCTGTTGGAGCTAATTACAGGTCAACCTGCTGTATTAAAGGGAGAGGAATCAGTTCACATACTTGACTGGTTAAGATCTGAGCTTCGAAGAGGAGATTTGAGTAAAATTGTAGATCCAAAGCTACATGGTAAATACAATGCATGTTCTGTGTGGAAGGCTTTAGGAGCAGCAATGGCATGTACTGCGCCAGCCTCAATTCATAGACCTACAATGAGTTGTGTGTTATCTGAGCTAAAAAAGTGTCTGGAAACAGAGGTGCCTAGTCAGAGTGAAACATATATGGTACCAGCGCAGATCTATAGGGAGTTGCATAGTTTGTCTGAGACATATTCATTGGATGATGAATCTATCACCTACCCTTTTCCAAGATAGTGAAAATAAGTGTGTGTGTGTTGAAAAAAATATTCAGATGTACTTGGCGCAAGTGTACAAATTCTTATGAAAGCATAAAGATGGACAACTATGGATTGCGAACCACCCTTGAAAGTGCCATATTCCCAAGAGCTAATCACACTCATATTATGAACTCAATCACGAGTCACTTGTAATTGCAAGATCTGTGTGGTTTGTATCATTCAATTAATCACATTCATTCATAACCAATAGATTGATTAAACTGAGCAGGTAAAACTGCAACACAAAATGTTTAGGATTTCATTCTTGTTGGTACTCCTTTGTTGGTAGATAACTGAATATTTGAAATCATCCACTAATTGTAAAAGGATAAGGACTCTGTTTCAGTAATAATGTCTCTAATATGCTAGTAATTAGTTCAAAAATAAAATTCTATTTGACATCAGAGATAATCAATGTCTAGCACCCATTAATTCTTCAATCAAACTTTAGAGAGACATTGAACTGCCGTAACTACTTATGACTTATCAGAAACTTCTCAATGCAGTTTGAATATACTAAAAGATGAATTCCACATCATGGAATCTGACAATTGCTTCAATTCTTCAGAATACATCTGTTAGTCGATCATTGTTCTGACTAGGGAGATTTCCGGTTGGATTTTCCCAATCCAATTGTCCTTTTCCCTTCACTTTCAGGAAGAAAAGGGTCCCGGGACTTCATTAACGCCTTGACTCTAGAGGTATAGATTGGGCCAGCATTCCACATAGGAGAAACCTCATTAACTGGAAAATCATACTTTAATTGGGTGCTAAGACTGATCTTAATCGAGTTGTTGTCGTATAATAAGAACTTGTTTTGTTTGGATTTTACATTCAATTGTTAATGTGTGCCCAGGAGATTATTATTTTGACTTGATGCATCTAAATTATCAATCAGATTGAGTCTGTGATGGTAAGATTTTGACAAAGTTTCAAATGTTATCATGTCAGGAAAGTGGCGCTGCCTAAGAGAGCACTATGTCTTTGAAATTTGATACACGGCCGTCTAGAAGCAGGAGACCACAAAACTAACTTTGCTACCTAGATATTTCATGTACTTTCAATAACTTGATTGGGATTGTCAATTTCTACTTTATTCGTATTATCCATTGGCCAAAAAATATATATATATATATATACACTTTTTAAAATGGCTTGGGTATTTCAATCTACTTCTCTCTACAAAATCTTCACTGTATTCATAAACTGTTTCGATATCAAATTTTTAACGATATAAATTAATTTTTACTTTTAAAAAATTATTAAATCTAAATCAACGAGTTTAATTGCTGAAGTTCTTGCGCGCTTTATATCTGTGGAAGACGTTGAAGGCCTACGAGAATTTGATACTCCTCCGGTCCTTAATATAGGATCCAATTGTTGAGTTAGTTTTGATCTTAAATATAAGACTCATTTCTCATATTTATTAATTTTCTCTAAATTATCCCTATGAATACTCCCGCAACTATAATTATCAAATAGAAGAGGAAGAGGGGATATTAAGAAAGATGATTATGATATTTTAGAAAAAACGTGTCACATTTATTATAATTAACTAACTTTCTTAATCTGATCAAATTAGTTAAATGGTTTTTATATTAAAAACTGAAGGAGTATAATTCTAGTGTTTTGTTTTTTCTCGTTGGGATGGTTACGGCATAAACATGCCGAATCAGCATGTGCATGACATAATATGTTTGAATTAAATTCATATATAGCTGGGGGGAAAATATCGGCACACCCAAAATGTTTTGGGAGAAAAATATGTTAAGTCGATCAGTAGTTTAAATTATTGGTGTGGGATAATATTTACTTAATATCATGGTGATGATTGGTCAAAAAAAAATCATGATGATAACATAGCACAGCTCAAAAGTGGACAAAAAAGGTTAAGTGTCAAACAAATTCCGGACAAAAAAGCAAAAGCTGGGTTATAATTACACAAATAATGGTCCTTAATACTCCTCCAATCCTTAATATAAGACCTATTTAACTAATTTGATTAAATTAAAAAAATTAGGTAAGTTAGTTAATTATAAAAAAAATATGACATGTTTTACCTAAAACACTATAATCATCGTTCTTAATATCCTCTCTCCCTCTTCTACTTGATTATTGTTGAGAGAGTATTCATATAACTAATTTAAAAAAATTAATAAATATGAAAAATATATCTTATTTAAAATTAAAATCAACTTAATAATTAAATTCTATATTAAAAAGTAATAAAAAGGATAAAGTCCATCCCTGCCACGCTGGTCGTAAAAGGATTTCAAAGTGATTTGATTTCATGGATAGTGAAAAATAGAGACCCATTACCAATCTTCAAACAGAGAAAAAAACAAAAACCAAAAAGCCCCTTACACTTTTTCCTGGCGAAAATTGGTGGGCTGTGACCACATCTCGTCATTCTGCGTGGAAAACGAGCTTCTGATAGTGTATATGTTTAATTACCATTCTTCAAAGCATGCCTAGATATTGCATACGTGTTGCAGAAAAATTACTGTCCCTTTTATGAGAGTTTGAATTTGATGTTCTTTTAAGCTACAATATAATATATAGCTGTCCAAAGATGACGCTGCTCACATAGGTTTTAATTATTTGTCAGTGACATTTTACTGAAAAATAGCTTTTGATTGGGTTTGCTCCAATTATCGCAATATACATCTTTCACTTTTTTATATGATTGATAAAGTACGGGGTACAATTAATTAGCTGCCTTTTTTATTATGTCGAGCAGGATGAGATTCTAATATGATTCTAGCACTCTGGTATGATCGAGTAGCCGACATGATTCGGATCGGATCTTTTACATTTGAAAAGTCAAATGTATATAACTAGCTAATATGTTCAAAAGGAGACGAAGACAGCAGAAATAACAAGATAAGATGTGAATCTGACACTCACACACACACAGTTGTAATTTTTGTGCCTCTTTCTTTAATTTTAAATATATATAAATACATAAATATAAGAAATTTAGCCAGTGATAGTTTTTGAGTGAATAGTACAGTCTAATATTGTCCCAAAAAAAGAATACAAAGCTTGCCAGTCAAGCTTCTTTTCAAATTTTTAGGTTTTGGCCTGTTTATATGTGCATAAAGTAAGCTCACTTTACATGTATATATGTATATCTATATACCTGAATAGAGTTGGGTCATCTCTCACGTGAAGAAAACACGAGTTTGAATTTTGCAGTACATTTGTTATTCTATGACGGGCATCCCTTTTCCTGCTCAAACCCTAAAGAAACTTTCAACACAACTGACTTGATATAAAAGCAAGCTAACCACCTCAAACAGGAGAATATAGTGTTTGAAAATCTCTAACATTATGAATGAGAAGTAGAACTCGCTAGTTCCAATGCTCTTGTTTACCATTTTCTTTGGAATTAACATGCAGTGTTGGAAACACCAGTTTACACGCTATTGAGTACCTAAACAAAATGCATCCCCATTCAATTCTTTTTCTTTTTGGGGTAATCTGACTATTAATTAATTTGGGAAGCATTCGTTGATGAGACCTTGATCAAAGGAAGCAAAGCCATTAATGAAGAGATCATCATAGACAAGATCAGGCATACTTGCATCATATTGATGATCATCATGCTTAAAGCCAACCCACTTGGGATGATCGTTCTTTTCTGCCAACCAACCTGAAGCAGATGAAACTTCCATAGAACATGGCATCCCGCAGCTTTCGCTCTTCACGCCGCTGCCAACCTCTGAAACTTGATGCTCCAGAGGTTTTGGTCCTGAAAATGGAGCTGTATTTTGCTCCAACTCCAGAACACAAGGCTCAAAATACTCTGACGAGTCCTTGTGACCTACCAAAAAGGCATCGCCTTGAGGTGTTTGAGGGGGAAAGGATAAGAACGGTACATAACTATTGCCGTCGTTAATGTTGCTGGTGGTCCCATTACCATTGTTTGCTGCAAAATACTTCTTCTTCAACTTTGTGTTCCAGTGGTTTTTCACATCGTTGTCCGTTCTTCCAGGCAACTGAGCAGCTATAAGAGACCACCTAATGACAAAAGAACCAAACATATTCAGAGAGTAATAAAACGCAATTGTAGTAAGAAGCAGAAACAGCAGTAGGAACTAAATCTTGCCTGCTTCCGAGGGTAGCATAGAGAGTGCAGATAATTTTGTCTTCGTCGTCAGTAAACCCTCCAAGCCTTATATGAGGCCTAAGATAATTGAGCCATCTCAGACGACAGCTCTTCCCGCAACGCTTAAGACCTACACATCAAAAAAGTTCAGAAAGCAGTGAAAAGATAATACTCATGTGTATCAAAAGAGATGGGATGATATAGGGATCATTAGAGACACATATATAAGTAGTAAAGTACCAGCTTTTTTGGGGAGAGCGATCCAATTGCCACCGGTGCCATGCTTCTGGAGGTAGTTCTTGAGGGTGGCATCTTCTTCAGGAGACCATGGTCCTCTTTTCACACTAGCTTTGTCGCAACAGGGAGCTCTTCCCATGGCTACTCACTAAAACTGAACTGATGAATGTAACAACCAGAGAGAGAGAGAGAGAGAGAGAGAGAGAGAATATAAAAGAGAGTGGCTAGAAGCTAGCTGGAAACATATGCTTTTATAAAACGTTAAAAGGGAGAGGGGTAGATGACTTCGTCTGACTGACTGACTATAACTGACAATAGCCCGTTTCTTTTTGTTTTCTTCTTCTACTCTCTGTCAAGAAATTCTTTGCCTTACCCAGTTCCCTAACAAGAAGAAACAAAGGGACAACTGGGGGAATGACTGAAAGAGAACCAGTCAATGCTCAGAGAGCGTTCGAACAAGTGATCTGTTTTTTCATATGATATAAATACAAATTCCCTACTCATGCTGCCGTTGCGGGAAATATCATCCATCAGTTCACCCATGTGAACGTGACTTCTGAGTACTATGGTGCACGTATATGTATATATTCCGCAGCAGCGTTCCCCTTTCTTTAGGGAAAAAATTAAAGCAGTTTTTTTTTTTTTGGCTGGCGAAGTTAAATAAGGTAAGGAAATTTTTCAGGTTTAATGTTGAAGAGAACACCATGGTTCTTTGTTGATTAAGGAATTAGCTATATGACAAGGCGGAAATGAATGAAGTGCAAGATCTAAATCTAATAATGCTTTCAGAAAAGAAATTATACTACCTCCGATCTTAACTAGTTGACTAATTTAAAAAAAATAAAAAAAATTAGTTATTTGTAATAAATAAATGTTGTCTTTCTTAAAATATTCTTATTAGTCAAATTTATTAACTAGAACTACTATTATTAGAGAGACTATCTTGAGACAAAATACATAAATATACAAGATAAAGTGACTCGAATCTTATAATTAGAATCAAAATAAAAATTAAATAAGATCTTATATTACTGAAAATAATATTATACAAGGCTTTAAAATTTTATGGAGTGATTATATATTTGGGAAGGAAGACGTACACAGAAATTAAAAATGTTCAACGGCAGAGGGACGAGGGAACTGAGTTCTGACGAGGTAAACAGAGGCAGACTTGGACGGCGGACACGCGAAGTTTGAGTGTGTACTGTGTACTATGGCCGTTGCAGGCTACTGACTATGGGCCCAATGTTGGACCAAGTTAGTTCTATTGCATGAAAAATAAAAGGGAAATTGAATATGATAGTCCTTTTGAATTAGGTTCTTGTTGATTTTTTTCTTTTTATTTAATCCTTATTATATGCTCCGTTAATAAAGTTAGTCCTTCCGTCTAAAACATTTGAAGATGCCGTTAGTTTGAGCTAAATAAATCATAAGCTCACCTTTTTCCTTAACACAGCATCACCTCCTTTCTCAGCCCTCCCCCCCAAAAAAAAAAAAAAAAACTCCACCAGTCTCCTTCATAGCAAATACCGTTACCTCTTCACCATTAACCAGAGACCTCGTGCCTTCTCCAAGCTAGAAGCTATTCGAAAAGAGGTCAAACATGGTGACTACGTTTTGTTCCACATAAGCCTTCTTTAGGAGCGCCGCTATTACAGTCTTTTTCTCCATCGAGGCTTTGGTTAAAGCAAAATCAAGATCTTGACTTCCATCAATAACACTATAAAATAATGTCATAAAAAGAAAGTAATATATAAACATTGGAAAAAAAAAACTGGATCTTTACATTCTTTTTTAAACAAGAAATTGAAAAGAGTTATGAGTTTGAACTTATTGTGCCTAGTGGTATTTTTTGAATAAAAAACAATGGGTTAGAGAAAGAAGACCGAAAGAGGAGAAGCTAGCGTTCCGATCAACAATTCTGATATTGGGATAATGCATTGTGTGTCTTTACAAATTTCGATCTTTGCTGTGAGGTTGTGTGGCGAAGATAATTTGTTGCATGGAAATATGGAGATACAGTAAGGTTGTTTGAATTGATTCATCATTATCTCTCTCATTGAAGTTGCAGACAAGACATGGGAGGTTGGCTTAGCAAGAATGGAGTGAAGCTTGTGCAAGAGAGGGTGAAAACGATGAAGTTGCAGAGAGAGTACACGGACGATGAGCTTCGGCACATATCTTGGTCAACTTTAACGGCACCTTCAATTTTTTTTTGTACGGAAGGACTAACCTAATAATAAAAATAATAATAAGGACTGAATAAAAAGGCAAAAAACAATAGGGACCTGATTCCAAACTTGATAAAACTATAAGGACTTTCTGATTCATTTTCCCAAAATAAAATTATGAGATGATTTACTGCATAAGTCACTGGTCTCCTGTGAAATTTATGATTTGCGTAGTCTTAAAATTAACTAATATTCTGCCTCTCCCTAGCTCTCTCATTCATCCAAACTAAGAATGCAATCATAAGCCAATAGTTTTGTAGCTTGTTGGCTTGAATGCTTTCTTATAAGTGGGAGTCACAAGTTTAAAGGAAAGGGAAATGAATAATAAGGGATGCGGGCTAGTAAAAATGAACTATTACTCTCGTCTGACGCAACCAGGGAGGAAAGGGATAAGGTTTTGATCATAATTTACTCCTCCAATCTTTAATATAGGACTCAATTGTTAAATTAGTTTTAGTCTTAAATATAAGACCTATTTCTCATATTTATCAATTTTCTCTAAATTACCCCTATGAATACTCCCTCAACCATAATCAAGTAAAAGAGAAAGAGGGAGTATTAAGAAAGATGATTATGGTATTTTAGGAAAAACATGTCATATTTTTTATAATCAACTAACTCACCTAACTTTCTTAATCTAATCAAATTAGTTAAACATGACTTATATTAAGTTGTGAAGGAGTATTTGGTTGAATCAGAAAGAAGGAAGGGAAGGTGAAAGATTTTGTTAATTCAAGAGGGGAGAGAGGATTTTAGTCTTGTCAAGTTGTAACAGTTAAAATGCTTCCCTCTCTTTCCGAGTAATGATTAAACCCAGTCAATGATTCAAGTTTAAAACATTCGTCCGCTTCAAAAACCTAATGATCATTTGTTGCAATTTTTAATCCAACCCAATCATCACCTTTTAACCCAACCGAATCATATTTGCCGCCCCGAAAAAACAAAGCATATTTGTATATACGCTTTCGGGCTGTTTAGAATGGTTTGTAAGGAACTTTTTTAAGGGAAAATTTCATCTAAGGACCGCATGTGAGAATTTATATCAATCAACCCCAAAATATTTTGAAATATCACTGTAGGACTAAGAGACCAAACTAAAATTAAAATTAAAAGTAAGAATACAATAATACCCCTCATTTTTATTTTTTTTAAAAATAAATATTAATGGTCACCAGAGTTTCGACCATCGGAGGTCGGAGGTCTGGTCACCGATACTCAGGTGGCCGTGGCCGGAGGTTGGACCTTCGGTGGCAGCTGTAGCTCCGGTGGCTAGAAGTTTTTTTTTTTTAAACAAGGTAGCCAAATAAAGGTTTGAACCCATAATCCCTTGACACACAAAAAATGATGCAACCACCAAGCAAGCTATTCAATTGTGTTATGCAAATAAAAATATATATATAACAAAACAAACGCAAGTGTCCAAATATAAGTAAACAAGTGAAATTTGATAGTTTACAAGTAAAATTCAACAATTTACAACAAAAATTTGACAACTTACAAATAATATAATGGAATTCACAACCCCAAATGTAAATATTTAAATGTAAATGAGTAAATGAAATTTGAAGATTTGCAACGAAAATGTATAGATTTCTAAGTGAAATTCAGTATTTACAATGAAAATTTTATTTGCTCATTTTCACTTAAACACTTACATTTTAAGCTGTAAATTCCATTATGTTATTTGTAAATTGCCAAATTTTTATTGTCAATTGCTGAATTTCACTTGTAAGTTGTCAAATTTCACTTGTTCACTTGTACTCAAACATTTTGGGTTGTGAATTGTCTTGTATTTCTTATGAATAACCAAATTTGGATTGTAAATCTATAAACTTTTATTGTAAATCTTCAAGTTTCATTTGCTTATTTACACTTAAACACTTACATTTGGGGTTGTGAATTTCATTATATTATTTGTAAATTGCCAAATTTTTGTTGTAAATTACTAAATTTCACTTGTAAACTGTCAAATTTTATTTGTTCACTTATACATGGACACTTGCGTTTGTTTTGTTATATATATTTTTATTTGCATAATATGATTGAATGGCTTGCTTGACTTTGTGATTACATCACTTTTGGTGTGCTAAGGGGTCATGGGTTCAAACCTTCTCTTGGCTACTTTTAGGGCTACACATGAAACTCGATAACCCGGTCCAATTTTTGAAACAATCCAAAACACTTGGTGAAATTCGGGCTAGATCAGGTCTGATTTGAAGACCGGGTAGGACCGGGTTACTAGTAGGCACGTTGGACTAATAACCTGGTCCTACCTGATGATTTTTTGTGAGATATAAAAAAAAGCTGCATAGGCCCATATTATAGTTTCTTTTCTTTTTTTTCCCTAACAAGTCCATTTCTGATTTAGGCCCGTGTTGAAGTCTTTTTTTTTTCCCAGATCCAATTCTGATTTCCCTTGCGGCCTTGCCCACACCGCATGTTCGAATCCATCAGAGATCAAACCATCACCTCGTCAGGCATCCTTCATGAGCATTCCCAAATTCCCTCTCCCTCTAAACCTAACGACAGCGTCAATGTCTCAGGCTCTTAGCGATTAGCATAGACTGTGAAGGGATTTGCGTCTTAGGCTCTTAGTTCATCAAGCCCATCCCCTTTTGTGATTTGCGCAGCATCGGCGACCCCATTCCCTAGCAGCTAGCAACCAAGCTTGCCTCCTAGTCCTATGATTTGCAGCTCACTATTTGCTCGCCAGTTGCCGGCTTGCCGCTGCTCTCCAGCTCTGTCACCATCAGGTAAGTTCGATTGACCAAATGAATTCAGTTGATTGGTTATTCAATGGGATTCTTTGTGATCTGCAAGAGCTCTAGACTTGGTTGAACTCTCACGTAGTGATCTTCGTTTGATAAAGGGTGTTTAATATGTCTCTATTGATAATGTAGGAAGAGGT